TTTGTCAATAGGTTTTCAAATCTAATACTGATGAACAAATTGGTCTTCTTCTAATTCCAGCTGACAAAACAAACCTAAATACATTTGTATTAAAGACCATCGATCGGCTTTTCAAAGAAACAGACCTTCGTGATATTAATTCACATTTTATTGATACAAACAAACAAGTTATGATTATTCGAGGTTAATTACTACAAAGTCATCACCTAATCATATTTTTTTTCATTATAGATGCCGTTCAAGCTAAATGTGGTTTAACAGCTGATGAGCTGGCAACTGTTTGGATAGCAATGCTCGAGTGAATAAAATCTAAAAGAAGAAATATGAAAGCTAAAATTCGAAAGAATATGATCAAACCTGGTAGTTTCTTTCTCAGTAAATCCTAAAATATGTTTCGACGGTTTTCACTTCTAGATAACAATAATCTTGTTAGTAATACTGCAAATCCATTAACACGATTGATATCATCAATGCAACAAAATCTCAACATTCAAGAAATCAATGAACAGTTCCAATGATTATTTGAGTTAAAAAAAGCTTAATAACATTGGATATTCTTATTGTTTGATGCATTATGACTATTATAATTGATTCTCAATTATGGTTCTCGGTATTTTTTTCATTTACCCACACACATTTGATTCTAACTATGTAGTTCTTCCACTTGAATCTTGTGTTCCTACTCCAATTAGTATAGCTTTCATACGTTGATATGTCATATTTTTACATCTCAATGATTATTCATACTTTGTAAATGTGATCCTTTGCCATGTGTCTTTATACGTGTTAATTATAATATCCACCTTTTACTTTCATTTTTCTACCTCATGAGTGAAATGTGTGAAGAACAATATATAACTTACGATTTGCTTGCTTTTGTTATTACTTTTACTGTTAGATGTGATCCATATCGTTGTATTTTTTTTTAAATAAAATCTAATCGAAAAAAATAGATGCTACCAATATACAATAAATAAAATCGCTGATGAGTCGCAATAATATTAAGTCAGACTGGCGATAACACTACGGTTAACATTAAGAGTAATCGGTGAACAAATCACAAGTTATCGTAATAATCGCTAAAAATATCATTGAAAATCGGCAATTAATCACGTTTCAGCTCACGATTATCGTTTCGATATATCGCGATAAATCATCAATTTTTCAGCGGTTTTGAGGACACGGGTTAATAAACATCAGTTGATAGGAGTGCAAATATCAATTGACAAGCTAAAAAAACAGATGAATCAGGAAAGGTTTAGCATTATAAAGAAATGTTTGGGATTGACGTGATTTATTATTAATTCTTTCATATTGAGTTAATGATTTTTAATCATTTTCAGTTAACTTTATTACTAAATTTATATCTTCTATATTTAAAAATTTATCGAATTTGTTCTTCATGCAAAACGTCAACATGATTCAAACAATTATATTGTTTTCCATCATTATATTGTTGTTCCGCATGAAGAAAAAATTCAATAAATTGTTAAATGTAGAAGATATAAATTTAGTAATAAACTTAACTGAAAATGATTGAAAATCATTAACTCAATGTGGAAGAACTAATAATAAATTACATCAATTCCGCACATTTGTTTCAGAGATGGAACCGGTACCGGTTACCGACCGGTCCGGTCCGGTCCGGTACCGGTCTGGATTTTGGATCGACCGGTCTACCGGTCCATACCGGTCTGCCGGTCCATACCGGTCTGACTGGTTCAAATCGGTCTATACTGGTCTATATTTTTCATTTTCCTGCTCTATGATTGTATTCAAGGTACGAAGGTAACCCACCAGAGAGTTCACTGCACACGAAGATTTCATTTTAAGCTTCAGCCTGTTGTCTGCCGATCGATATTTTATCGATAGGTCGGGTTTTCCTGATAAACTGGCGCATCATCAGTATCCTGTCACTATCGGTAGATCGGTTTAGAATGGTAGACCGATTTGGACCGGTAGACCGGCCGGTCCGGTCCGGTCAGCCTTTCTCCAGACCCGTGCCGGTACCGGTCTGAAAAAAGGTAGACCGGTTCCATCTCTGATTTGTTTCTCAAATGAAATAAATGTGGAAACCTCGGATTTAAATCCGAGAGTTATGTGTACTTCAAAAAGTGAATGAGACAGATGAGTCATCCTAGGATGTGCGGACATACAAACTATCCTGGCAAACCTTGTCTATAAACACTTGATTTCTATTGGCTACTGCTCAACCAATAGGATTTGCGGGTGAATACAGCTCAGATTTGAACTCTTCACCTTGATTTACCCTAAGAAACTCGTTTTTCCTATAACTTGATTTCTATTGGTTACTGCTCAACCAATGAGATTTCGAGGCGAATGGAACACAGATTCGAGTTCTCCACCCCAGAAAACCTCGAAGTATCATCTCTGTGATCGGAAGATAGAGCTCTAATTGTAGATCACATAGAGCGTAGACGAAAACAGAACCGAATTCTGTTTAATTATCTTTGCAATAGGTGAGTTAGCTTTCTTGTTTCCTTATGTTTCATATACCATTTTGTAGCTCGTGAAATTCTCTATCGAATGGTATATAATAGTTGGGTTTTATTTTGAATTTGATAGGAAAAGTTTTTTACGAAAGCGGGGATGGGTCGATTTTCGCATAGGAAGCCATAGGAAAAAATGAGTCTTTTTGCAATAACTCAGGAATGGTTCAGCCAATTCTTCTCATCTTCGAACTCGATCAAGACATTGTTAAGACTGAACTGTGTAGAAAATTTCATCTCGATTGGACTCTCCTTTCAAAAGTTATCGTGTTAACGGCCGGACGGACGGACATACTGACCGATTCTAGAGTGTACTCACTTTTTGAGTACACAAAAAGATTGTATTCAAATTAATAAACAAAATTGTATATTAAGTTTTAATTATAAATATTCAAAACAATATCATGATATTCTTGTGCCAATAGGCATATTATCTTATATGATATCTTTACTTTCTCAGTGTGTTCTTGTACAATCAATAATACAGTGTACATAATCGTGTTACTCTTACATTTATCTAAGATTGATTGAACCTTGTTCTCTTTCTGTCGTACTGCACTTCTCAATATATATCACCATTCACTCGTTCAGTCTTATATTGTAATCTTCTTGGCCTCATCACTGGTTCATCTTTACGTTGTTCTCTCCTTGGCCTCTTCATCTTTCTTTTCATCACCTCTTATTCTACTCGTGTATATAAACGTGTGCTTTACATGTAAACGAGACGATTGTATGATATAAAGGATTATAATAAAGTGTAACTCCATCTGCACTAACATACCTTCTATCATAAATCGTCACAGTTGACGATTGATGATATGAAGAAGCTCAATAAAGCATAATTCCATCAGTATTCACACTTCTTCTATCTGAAAATCGTCACAATTCTCTCGAAAATAGACAGTTTAATATTAAATAGAACTGAATATTTAATTATATTAAAACCTTCATAAAACTCATCAACATCAGAATTACACTGAAAATATAATTCTACAAGAATAAATGTATGTAATGAACAACAATTCTGTTAGAATGTCAGACTTCTGACGAAATTCTACTGGAAAAACAAAATTCTGATTTTGGACAATTCTGCCTGCCGTCGTTTGGATAGGTGTTTTAGAGTGTAAGCGAAGAGAAGATTGATGTCTACACTCAGACCCACATACTTAGCAAAGTTAGAGGCATCTAACCTACTTTGACTGATAGTGTCCTGGAAACTCTTTGGAAAGCCTAATACAGGCATCACATAATTCGCATAGAGTTCTGCACTGTTGTCTACCTTTAGAGATCTGTTGAAATGAGAATTGTATTGAATTCTGAAGGAATAAAAAAAATGAATAATAATTACTTGTTTTCTTGCCTTGGGTCTCCAGTAAATCTCGTTGTTCTCAGTAAGACAATGAAACTGAAAAGTGAGCATACATAACTGTTTTTTTATTGACTTCATGATTCGAATGCTATATGGAAAACAGTTTCAACTCTTATTGTAGAACAAGAAGATATATTAGCTAGATAAACGTGTCAATCTGGCCACAAGAGAGCGTTGCGATACTTGCCAAATAGTATTACGGTGATCGAATTTCGTCAAACTCATGTAGATACTACAGTTATTTATGCTGAATTCAAATAAAATAGTTTTAGTGGATAATAGTCTGTGCAAGTTAAAATAATTTTTAATTTTGCTCGTTTTTTTGCACGAGTGACACCTTATTATCAATCGAGAGCAATGTTTACACTTGTAACAGCTATTCATTTTTTCTTTTTTGTTTCATTGTTCTCCATCAGCTTTTTTTATCTTAGCTATTTTATAGTTTATATTAATGAAGTTTTAGTTGGTAGTTTTTAATTTTTCAAGTGGGACCATAATTTGAAGCTAAACTTAATTAAAAGTATTTTTAATTATTGTATACTCAACAGATTTGAGCTATATATAGCACTTTATCAATGTCTCAGAGATACTTGATCGATTTCATTTCATTTTTTTGCTCATCAATGCTATTTAACATATAGATAGAGAGAATAAACAAAGATGATCTATTGATTATCGTTATTTGCAGAAGTTTTTCTTGTTTTTTTCTAAATCTGTTATTATCAGAGCATTTGATATTGATCGTTTTATACTTGAGAAATGGATGTTTAAGAATAAAATTAATAACTGTGTCGACTTTTTTGCAAACTATACATTGTACTTCATAAAAATACAACAATAAGGAAATTATATTGTTGGTAAACTATTATCTATATAGATAATACTCTTAAATAAGTAATCTACTAAGAAAAAATTTTTATTGTTATGTACATTCCATATTTTAAATTACAGCTGACACATTTTTTTTATTTGATTCTTTTACAGATGACGAAATTATAAACATGAAATAGATATTTATATGACAGAGTATATCAAACTTTCTTCTCGAATTCTAGTAGTATTACATAATAGACCTTCAATTATAATAGAACTTAAATTATGCTGAAAGTGAGTGTAAAAGATTAATTATTGATTACAGATGAAATATGTCGAATATCTTGTTCAATTTGAACAACTCTAGGATCTGTAGCGGATAATAAATGATGATAGATAACCTGTGCTTCTTCTAAATATCTCAATGCTGGTCTCCATTTCTCATAATTTTTATAGAGATGACCAATATTTTCAAGTGTTAATCCATAATCAATATTTTGTATATAAAACGACGTACGATAAATTTCAAGTGCTCGTTTGAAGTTTTCTAAAGCGAAATCAAAATGATCTAGCTGTTCATGAACTAATCCAATATTATTATATAACGCAGCTACATCTGAATGATTTATTCCATGATATCTCTGCTTGATTTTCAAAGCCTTTTCAAGACATTTCAGTGCATCAATATAATTTTCTGTTTCATTATGAATAACACCCATATTAATAAGACACATAGCGACTTTTAAATGATTTTCACCAAGTGCTTGTGTCCAAATATTTAAAGCTTTTTGATATGCTTCGAGTGCTTGATTATAATCTTCTGTTTTTCGATAAATATTACCAATACTATTAAAACATGTTGCAATATTTAAATCATCTGAACTCATTGTTTCCATCATGATTTTAAGTGATTTTTCATACCATTTAATACTATCTTTATAATTTCCTTTACCTGAATAAACTCTACCAAGATGGTAATAACATAAACCAGTTTGTTTATAATCATCTGAAAATTCTGTAAGTAAACGTCGATAATATTTTTCTGCATCATCATATTTTTTCATTTGATGTAAAATACTTCCAAAACTAAAAACGTTATTTTCTTGATCATTATATTGTCTTTTTATTTGATCAATTCGATATTTTAAATCATTATCTTGATCACTACATAACGATAAATGAATAACCCAAATATTTTCTTCATTTAAAATAATATTATTTAAACGAAATATAGCTCCTAACGTAATTAATACTTCACATTCATTAGGAAAATAACTTCTTGATGATATATCAGCAAATGGTTTAATACCAATATGATTTGGATTAGCATCGATTTCAAATAATACTCTTTGTAAACCATTATGTATTGAATTTACATCACCCATAAGAAAAATTACATAATTTTTATTTAAACTTGTTGAAAAAAACGAATTGATTGATATATGATCTCCAATAGAATTTTCTAATTCTTTTATTTCATCTTGTGACATTAATTGTCCACGATAAATTCGAATCGCTTGTGAACATTGATCTATTTCAAGTTGCCTTTGTATATCGTAGATAAAAAATCGAAAGACAAAAAGTAAACCAATATTTTGTATTCGAAGAGCTTTATTTAATAAACGATACAGAAATGTTTCTCGTGTATACCACCACAATGCTTGATCAGATCTATATGTTTCTTGAAATTCATATATAATGGATAATTGTGAAGGATTGTCTTTATATAATTCTAAACATCGAGAAATGAATTCATCTGTATCTTTTATTGTAGGTTTTATTTGAAGAAGTGAATCAAGAAATAAGTTCTGATGAACAAATTTAAGATTTAATGCTGTTGTGGATTGATCAGCCTTGTGACGTGTAGTAAATACATTAATAGAAAGTGGCTCATCGATTTTACCATGCATTTGTCTCTCTTGATCACATTTCAGCTTTTTAACCAATTCATCCAAACTGATAAATACACCTTTAATCTAAAATCGATTAAATCAACGGTGTCTTTTCTATTTTTGATTTCAGATATTTTCCAAAGAAAAATAACGATCCTTCAGATATTTTATCGTTCTTTCATAGAAAAATTCCAGGTCTATATTATGATAACAAAAAAATATAGTTATTACCTTCACATCTTGTAACTCTGAGCGTGAGTATAAAAAATTTCTATGTCATGAAAATGAGAATTATTGTCCATGAGAACTTTTTTTTTCACATATTCATAGTTGTTTTTCATTTCTATGAAATACAGTATGATGACAATCAATTATTTACCTTGATAAATGCGTTAGGCCACATTTCATTTTTCTTTTTATCCATACAAAATATATAAATTGAAGTCATTTGTCGAAAATGATGAATGCATGGTACAAATTCTTTACCCAATCTACCATTTGTAATCAAAACTACTCGATCATCTCTGGATAAATGTTGAATATAATTTTTACATTCTTCAATACTATCAAAGATTCTTATATGATTTATAATCGATCGAAGTTCTCGTTGAATTTGTCTATTTTCCTGTAGTTCAGTTAATATATTACCAAGCCAAATAAGAGTTGTTGTTTCAAAGTTTTCATTGTCTGATAATGATGTACAAAAACTATCAGGAAAATTTGGTATAGCCATCGTTTTCGAGTATCATATGACACGACTGTTCTCTTATTTTCATTAGGCTACGTATGTATTCACTCAATCGTAACAATTTTTATCTATTGTAAAGCATACAATATCGAAGGAAAAATATTTATTTGGTCTTACCGTCTCTATATGAGTTAGATTCTCGTTGATGATAAACTGTTCTATTGATGAAATGAGAAGTGACGCAAAAAATAAAATTCTATTCAGATTATTTTTTTACTGTTCCAAGAAAGTTATTTTGAATGTATGTATTGAGAAGAAAAGTTTGTTTTTTTGCTAATTGCTGCCATAAATTGTTACGAAAATATTTTTAAGAACAACCTTCTATTTTCAAATCTATTACAAATTTCATAATAGACAATTACAAATTATGACGAACTAAACATCATTGTTTAGACATATTGATCAACAATAATATGCGAACACTCAATAAATCATTTTAAAATTAAGATAATGAGCAAATGAATAACATTCGCATTTGTATTTTATATATATATATGTATATAACACAAATAATTTCAAATAAATTTCAATTAAAAGAAAATAATTCAACAAGATTTAATAGTGACATACAATTATTATTTAAAACTGCATTTTTATTGCAAAAAAAAAATCTAGATGTAGATCAATCAATGACGATCTAATGATTGTCGACCAATAGAAATTACTATCCGAGCCTCTCTTTAATCGTACAATAGATATTAAAACAAAAGAAAAACTATATTCGATCAAAACTATCAACCAATGTTTACAATAAATATTTTTAACACTATAAAATAGGTCATTATTTTTGTAAGTATAATTTCTGCCGTAAACAATTAATGGTAACCAATCATTGATTGCCAAGAGTGCAAGGACTGGCCATATTTTCTACATTATCGTATTTAGAAAAATATGTCCAAAACACATCTATTTCATTTTTGTAATAACATTATGTATGATATCTTTGTTTTGTTTCGAGATTTTGAATGCATCCTTTTCTCTCTCGATATCAGAAAAAGGTATAACTGAAGCTATGATTTTTCTCTATTAATCATTATCTCTATTGTTTACCCGGAGAAAAAAAATTTTTTTACTTATATGATACGATATTTTTCAGATCATCATGAAATCATTGATACTTATTGGATTTGTATTTATTATCTATGTTGCAACAACAACAACATTTGGAGCTGATGATAAAGTGAATTTTTATTGAATATTAGATTTATTTATTTTTCTGTTTAATTTTTGTATTTGTAATTTTTTTAGCTTTATGTAACAAAAAAAGTTTATTTTGATATTGAAATTGGTGGTAACAAAGAAGGTCGTATTGTTATTGGTTTATTTGGAGATGTTGTACCAAAAACAGCGGAAAATTTTGCACAATTAGCAACTGGTACTAAAGGTTTTGGATATAAAGGTTCAAAATTTCATCGTGTTATTAAAAACTTTATGATCCAAGGTGGTGATTTTGATCGTGGAGATGGTACTGGAGGCAAAAGGTAACATTGATAATTTTTAATCAGAAAAATCAATTGATTTTTGTATAATAATTTAGTATCTATGGTGCTAAATTTGCTGATGAAAACTTCAAATTGCAACATTATGGTGCTGGATGGCTTTCAATGGCTAATGCTGGTAAGAATAACCAAAGAAATAATATGATATATCTGCCTAATATTAATTTTTTAGGTAAAGATACTAATGGTAGTCAATTTTTTATTACTACTGTTAAAACTGAATGGCTTAATGATCGACATGTTGTCTTTGGCAAAGTCCTTGAAGGTAATATTTTCTTTTTCTATAATATAAGTTTTTACTTTTTTTTTCTAAAAAAATTAGGTATGTCTATTGTACACAAAATTGAAAATACCAAAACAGGTTCTAACGATCGTCCAGCATCAGATGTTGTTATTGCTGATTGTGGTGTTATTGATGTAACAGATAAACTTGCCGTCGATAGACAACCAGTTGATGCTAAAGTTTAAAAAACCAAAATATTTCGTTGTTAACCATATTTGTTATTCATCATTAGTTTAATATAAATGGAAAACGTTCTTTTTTTTTCTCATTATTCTATTTGTTGTGCGTATTAACATGAGTTTTTTTTAAATATATGCCATAAAAAACAAAGCATCTGTTAGGTAGTGGCGCTATCTTTTGTCCACTAGCTCCTTTTTCTTCTCTTTCTTCTATGTTCTATTGATTGGTCATCTGTGTGATCCATAAGAATAGATAGATGACCGGATTGTTAGTTAGTTAGTGTGTGTTTGTTTTTCCCGAGTAGAAAAGAATAAAA